GTAAGGGACTGGGATGTAGGAGGGAATGTGAGAGGGAGTTTGGGTGAAGGAGTCAGTTGTGACCTGGGACACAGGACTGGGGTGCCAGAGGGGATACAAGAGTTTGGGTTGTGACCCAGGGTAGGAAGGGGTTGTGACCTGGGTAAAGGAATTGGTGTACAGCACATTTCTCAGGCAGACTCCTGCTCCTGCACAGGCTGCAGGAGCCACATGAATCTGCAAATAACTACAAGCCTGAGAAGTGTGGGGAGGAGAGGGGGTGCTTCATGTGCTGTCTGTTCTTCAAGCAGGCAGCTCCCATTGGCCGGTTTCTAGCCAATGGAATTATGCTAGGGATGGGGGGAGGAAAGGCAGTCTCTCTCCCTGCCCTCTAGCTGTGAAACACAAACGGTCTGCAGTCGCTTTTTTCAGCAGCATGCTGGGAGGGCATGCAGGGAATCTGCCTAATACTCCATGCTGCATCTGCGGGCTGGATCTAGTGGCTTGGCAGGCCAGATTTGTCCAGCAGGCTATATTTTGCCCAGCCCTGATGTAGAGACACGGTAGCTAGAATACATAATAAAATATACAAAAGCGGTGATATAATAAATAATATTATTATATTTATACTAAAATATAAATATGCATTTTGAATAAATCTGTTGTTTATGGTAAAGTTTCATACAGATGTATGGAAGAAAGGATCCACAGTGCACAGCCCAACTAATCTGTTGATTAGTCAGATATATAACTCTTGCATTCACATTTCTGAAAAATAAAGATACTCACCTTCTGCCTGAGCCTTATTAGTAATAAAAACATCTCCTAAAACTTACAATGCAAATATTGTCAAAAGAACCAAAAAAACTTTCTCTCAGTAATGTGTTGAGTAGAAATGAATAAAGTATATCTTCCTTTTCTATCAAAATGAGTTACCAATTTAAACACAAACTTTTGGCTAGATGTGATGGCACAAAAAAGGAACTGTTTCTTTGCTTGTACTGCTTTTGTGGTTATAGAATAGCAATGGAATTCACTGGCATGGACTACTGAATAGATTTCAGTGAAGATTCTATTTTGATCACTGGCACTTGGAAGAGCTACTGGGACCTGTTCTATTGGATCCCATTCAGAATCAGGGCCAATATTTCTAAAAACATTGTTAGAGGTAGTGAAATATATCTAATGCTTCTTGTGTACTTGTAAAAAAGTAAAAAGACATAAAAATGAATTAGAAAGAAAACTGTTCAATTAAGATCTGAATGACAAGTAAACAGACTGAAAGGCGATTGAGGTATTATCTTTTATTGGACCAAATTCTGTAGAGTAGAGAGAAAAGTTTTCGAGATTACACAAAACTCTTCTTCGGGTATGGGAAACACTCAAGAGTGACACAGCCAAATACAAGGTGGGACATTTAACACTTCTTTCTAGGGAGCATTCACAGTGAAATGCATCTCATTCGGTGCAGTAAGTGCCCAAATAATAATTATGTGGGTGAAACCAGACAACCACTATTCTCGGGAGTGAGCTCCCACAGGAAAATGATAAATGTAAAAAAAACCCACAATCACCTGGAGTTGAACACTTTTCACAAAATAGTCACTCTGTACCTGACCTCTCAGTTCTCATTTTCCTCAGTTTGAAAGGAAATCCGCACTCCTTCAAAAGATGACTCTTAGAACTTAAATTCACAACTTTGTTAAACACTAAGAACCTGGATGGAATAGGGCTTAATGGCATATTGGTATATTACACCAATAATCTATAACCCAGAAACACATGCACCTCATTCCCTGCTGCTCCTCCCCCCCCCCCCCCCCCCCCCCCCCCCCCCCACACACTTTTGACTACAGGGCTATTAATGGAAGACTTTATTTAAATGCTCACTTGAAATGTGTGTTATCAACCTGTGCTGAGCAATCTGTTCCACCTTGTATTTAACTGTGACACAGTAAGTATATTTCCCATACCTGAATAAGAGCTCCGTGTAAACTGGAAAGCTTGTGTCTCTGATCCGATAACAATTTTTTCTCACCCACACCTTATCTCTCTAATATCTTGGGCCTAACTTGGCTACAACTACCCCACATTCAGCTAAATAGTTGAAACATACAATTACTTGATTAAATATATTACTCAAGCTTCTGGCTAAGTTTCTTGCCCCACACAATTTATCATAAAGTACAAAATAGTTTTGACTATTAATAGCTCTTGTTTAGAAACAAAACCCCATTACCACAAGAGTGTAACTCTCAGATATCTTTGTGAAAATGTAGCCCCGTTAAAATCAATTATTACATTCCAGTGAGAAAATTTCATTGTCTGAATTACAGAATCAATAAAACCATATACCAGATAAGAAAAGAAATGGGAACTCCCTTTAAGACCCACATCTTAGAGTTCAGTTCAGAAATTACTAGTGGCTGGTCTGGGAGATACTCATGCCTCAGCTAAGAATACATTCCAGAAATAAAAACCAAGGCCTGCTTCCTCCCACACCAAAACCCATCAAGTAATAGGAGAATGGTAAATGTTTTAGAGTGGGATTTTCCTAAACACAGGCTTCACCCTACTCCCAGCAGTTAAGTCACGCTGAACACTTTTGAAAAACACCACCCTTAGACATTTAGCCATAGTCTGCACTGCTTCCAAACTTGAATAGCATGAGAGAGATAAGAAGGAGGTTAAACCCATCCAACTAACTCCAAGTTTCCTACCTTTTATAAATTCAATACTGTCACACCAACCCTCTCCGCATCTGGTCTCTTTCCCATATTGTAAAGAGCATAACAGTTGGAGAGGGAGGAAGGAAATAAATGGATGAGTCTGGCTTTGATTTTCCCCCATTTCAAATCAGAATCTCTTCAAGGGCTGTCAAGCGATTAAAAAATTTAATCGCGATTAATCGCATGCGCTGCCCCTTTGAAACACTTCAGCGGCGTTTCAAAGGGGCAGTGCTAGCAGAGCCCGGGATCAGCTGGGGACTCCAGCTGATCCTGGGATCCTGCGGTGTTGCCATTTTGAAATGCTGCCACTGCATTTCAAAGGGGAAGGTGCACTGAGCCTGGGGTCAGCTGAGGACTCCAGCTGATCCCGGGATCCTGCGGTGTTGCCCCTTTGAAATGCTGCCATTGCATTTCAAAGGGGAAGTTGTACTGAGCCTGGGGTCAGCTGAGGACTCCAGCTGATCCCAGGTTTCTGCAGCGCTGCCCTTTTGAAATGCCAATAGCGTTTCAGAGGGGCAGTGCACGTGATTAATTGAAGATTAATTTTTTAATCGCTTGACAGCCCTACTTATGACATGTCTACACTACCAAGTTTTGTTGCCAATAACTGCTTTTTGGTCATAAAATAGTGAGAGCCTTCACAATACAATGCAACTTTTGGTCGGGAAAAACGCCCAGTTTCAGAGACAAAAAACGTTCACATCTACGAGACTATTTTTCCCTCTCTCTTTAGTATCAACAAAGGGCCAGTGCAGAACTGGCTCACCCAGTATCTCACAATGCTGTCCCCATGGTTCTGTTCATTGTTTTGATCATTATTTCCCTGTCAGTGTTATTAATTGCCATAAAAGCCTAAATAACAAGTACAGATTATTTTTGTAGTATTTGCAAACGTGATAAAGAACTTAAGACTCTGCACATCTTGTTCTGTGGGACTATATTTCTAATGTGAATTATTCCATTGCTACAACTCATTGACAAATGGGCACTTTGAATAGCTGCATCGTTGCATTCAATACACAGGTATACACATTCATGTAAGAAGTGCAGCATCAGTGGCAAATAATGAATTGTGCTGGTTAATCCTTCTGAACCATCTTCCTAATTCAAGTGGTAAGGTTTGACAAATACAAAATATTAATTACAGGTATTCTTTTTTCAAGTTAATGCGTGAAATGTACAAAGTAGGGATGTTAAATTTAGATTAATCAACTAATGGAATAGTCGACGGAATTTGCATCGACTATTTGATTAGTCGATATGAGCGTCTCTGCCTTTGAAATGTAGCAAGAGCCCTGCCAGCTCTTGCTACATTTCAAAGGCAGAAGCACTGCGGGGAACACGTGGCCAGCAGGGGATTCGAGCAGTGGCTGGCCCATACCTCATGTGAGCTTCGATTTTGAAATGTAGAAGAGCATGGGCCCAGCAGAGGTCTGCTTGAGTCCTCCACTCACTCTGTGCTCACTATGGCACTTATGCTTTTTTCAAAGGCAGAAGCACCACCGGCTCCCTTTTGTACTCCAGTCCCACAGACGGTGCTTGGGAGAACTGACTTTTAAGCCGGATCCCCCCCCCCCCCCCCTTTGATAGAGGCAGCAGGGGGGGACAGGGGAAGGGGAGGAGGAGGGAAGCGACTAGTTGAGTCACTAGTCAACTATGCTTATCAGACAGTCGACTAATTGCTTACATCCCTAGTAAGAAGACTGCTGGAATTCTCAATGGGCAACTACAATAGCAAGAAAAAACACAACATCGCTGCCATTACACTCTAAGGGTATGTCTACACTACCCCGCTAGTTCGAACTAGCTGGGGTAATGTAGTCATCCGCAATTGCAAATGAAGCCCGGGATTTGAATTTCCCGGGCTTCATTTCCATGAAGCCGGCCGGCGCCATTTTTAAATGCCGGCTAGTTCGAACCCCGTGCCACGCGGCTACACGCGGCACGGAGTAGCTAGTTCGGATTAGGCTTCTAATCCGAACTAGCTGTACTCCTCGTGGAATACACCTATTACGCCGTTACACCTATTACTTTTCAGGAAGAACGGCGTTGCACAAGAGGGTTTTTCTTGCACAAGAAGGGGCAATGTAGATGCTCCTTCTTGCGCAAGAGGCTCTTCTGAAAAAAATGGTGTCTCATTAGGTATGCAAATGAGGCTCGGTGATATTCCACGCTTAGCCTCATTTGCATATTATTTGCGCAAGAAGCCACGAGTGTAGACATAGCCTAAAAAGAGAAATCACAGGAAAAAATTAATACAAAAGTGTCACGGCACTTTTATAGCTGTTTTACCTTCTCATTCAGTCGCTTGATTATTTCTTCAGCTTCGTCATTTGCAGCTCTCTCTCGTTGATGCTGAGCTTCCATTTCTTTCCTAGTATCTAGATCACATTCAGCGGTTAATGCCACTATCTTCCTTTTATACTCCTCCTGAACTTCATTCTCCATGGCAAAAAAATGTTTTTTGAAAACGGAACTCATCCTTTTCTCCACATTAGGAGAAAGATTGTATCTGAAAACCATGTTTTTCATCAACATTGCAATCACCTCTTTGTAAATCTGCATGCGATATGCTTCCAGATCAGCATCTGCCCGAATCAGGTTTGCTACTTCCAAGCTGTAAAATACAAGTTGTGAGTGTTTAGGGCTTCAGATGAGACACAATTTTTATCACAAAAAGTTAACTATAACCATTAGATATTACACTACCGAACAGCATTCAAAGCAGACCAGAAGGATGACACACTATTAGTCTAATAATAGCACCACCACAAATTTGTGGGAATGAATAAATTTCAATAGTGCACTATTAATGAAATCTGGCTATTTTTAGATTTCCATTAATGGTCAATAATAGAGAGGAAAAGAGAAAGGGAAAAGGGATTTAAAAAAAAATTAACATATTTCTCAGATTAAAAGCAAACAAAAATGCCCTACAAATGAATGCCGTGAACAGAAATACATTCCTAATGGAGCAAATAATTAACTGCAAGTTGCACAGACTTTATACAATGGTTCCAATCTCACTATATACCCCCAAGTCTTGCCTGAAGTATTTTATACTTTTCTGACAGCACCACAGGAAAAAAAATACATGTGTTTTGATTAGTTCTTGATAATACAAATTAATATAGCCATTATCTCTTTCTCATGGAAATTAATCTAATTTTAGGAATAAGATTAACAACACAGAGAAAAATATTTGTTACAAAAGGCAATATCCACTAAACATCATGCTGCATGTAAAGAGATACTCATTTGTTATTTCAGTTAATTAACTCAGGAGGACACATCTTTTACAAAATGTATCTTTTCTAAATTCTGCCATTCTTAAACTAGTTAGAACTCAATTCAGTATTAGAGAAATGGATTTCTTGTCCCTGAATGCCATTTTGCATGAAAAGACAGCACTGTACACTTTTGCACACAGACTATAAGTAGATTTTAATATGCTATCATTCCGACGTGATTGACGATGTAAGTCTTGAACACATATTTACAGCTTAAGTCTGGCTAAGTGTGACTGATATAAAAATTAAACCAAAAAGAAAATAAAATCTATTGCACATAATAAATACTTTTCCAGTTATGGTAAATTATTGATTTGATTGGTTCTTCGAGCTAAATCTCAGATACATTTCAAATGAGACAGCAGAGGCCCTGGAAAGATTTGCAACATGTTTACTGTAATAATAAAATGCAGCTGTTTCACCTCAAGGAGTCTAAATATTCAATCCTATAAAATGTTCAGCCTCTTCCTCAAGCAATTCTTCATTTTTAAATTAAAAAAGATTTTAGAGCTTGGTCTCCAGAACTAAAATGCAAATTTCTCCCTGCTCCTGCCTGGCAAGGAATTCACGCCCCTTGCAGGGCAGGAGGAGACTTTGCGTGCTGGGGCCTGGGACAGGGAGGAGTGCGCAAAGTCTCTCACTCCCTGTCCCCACCCTGCAAGGGGCACAGGGCTCTTGCAGAGTGGGGGCAGGGAGTGAGAGACTTTGCACCCCCCTTCCACCCCCAGGACTTGATTGGCCTGGGGGCGGGGGAGTGGCAGAACATCTGCGGGCCACATTTGGGCCCTTTACTCACCCCTGCTCTATAACATTCAGTCCTTGGTTTCTTTGTAAATACAGGCTGAACTCCTCTAATCCAGCCCTGCAGACCCGATTAGCGTGAACCAGAGAGTATGCCAAACTACAGGAGGTCAGCTATGGCATGGGTGCTCCAATGCTAGACCCACAGTTCCTAGCCACCACCCAGGATCCCAGCCACTGGCCCCAGGTCAAAGCCACCAGCCCTTCTGCTGTTACCTAGTGTCCTGGCCTTGTTGCTCCAGAGCCACCACTTGCTGTGATCCCAGCCTAAGGCAGTGAGGGACATGGACAGTGGTAAGGGGGGTGGCACAGGAAATTTGATCCATCCACAATAGGCAAATATCCAGCCATGTCAGACCATTGAGGTTACCACACTAGATAGTGCCAGACTAGAGAGGTTCAACTTCCTGTCAAGACTGTTCCCCACTCTGGCACTTCAAGGGCAGAATGTGGGGGCCCATAACAGAATTCAAAAATACTCTGCCAGTAAATGTTTCTACTTTAAAAAACTTCCCAAGGTCACCGATTCCCTGACCTTCGGTGTTATGCTGCCATCACCCAAATCAAAACCCATTTGAGAACCCAGGAAGATGCACTATGGAAGGTGATTTTATTAACAAAACAAAAAAGACATATTTGGTAAAGTATTACTTGGTTGCTAGGTGTTACTGTGATGAATGAGAGAGTGCTATCCTCTTCTGGACATACTACCATTCAGTTAATTAAATTGCCTATAAGGGTTAAACCCAAAGGCAGCAGGTCCTACACAGTTTCCAAGATGTGTTGGCAGGGAGCCAGGAAAGCCAATGAAAACTTAGTGGGGGGGTTTGAATTGGGGAAAAAAAGCAGGACTTCCCTGCTGCAGTTTTAGTGGGACCAGAATGGAGTAGAGATATGAGTTAAGCCAGGGCCAAAACGTGGAATTTCCAGCAATTACCATGCCTTGGGAAGAACTAAACCTTGGAACAACAGATATGTGAGTAGAACAGGGAATGTTTAGTTAGACACAATCAGATTATTTTCAGGTTTATTATGCTGAGGCTTTCTTCCCTTCCCCCCACCATCCATTCACTAACTTTTTAACTGAATCTCAGGGAAGGAAGTCTCTGTGTATTTAATTTTGCCTTTTTTTCAGATGTTCTGTAACACCTAGCAACTGAAAAATGAAATCAGTTGTAGCAACTATAATGTGCACATCTAACCCCATGAAGTTAGATAGCACCTATAACCTTATTTCACTTATGTATTTGAAGTACCAAACATGGTTAACTCTTCAAATATAGTTTTTACTCTTCGTAGGGTTGTGCGGAAATAACAGGTTTGCAATGCACACACACTGTATATTTGTATGTATACACAAATCCTTCTCATCGCCCCCCACAACTCAAAAAATATAAGTAAAAGTTAGGAAATACTGAAATAAAGGTTGCTTGTGTAATAGCTTATGATTATGCAATTAAAAGCCACACATAATGCACAAGAGAGTTGAGTTATCTTCCTACTCTGAATTCTGGAACTCAGGGCGAGTGAGAGGAGCAATTGTATGAAAACTTATGGTCCAGCCTCTGCAGCCCCAGGATGATGCATGATCGATTGCTCTGTGGGGTTATTGCTTATACAGTCTAGTCAGTACATATGAAGGGAAGGCGCATGCTTGCTGCCAATGCAACCTTCAGAGAATTTAGCTGCCAAACTCTAATAAGTCTCCACTGAGCATGTGTAAACAGATTTTCAGAGGTTTACATGTTGGCCAGAATTAGGCGCACTGTCACAGGAACAGCAAAAAGCACATTTTTGATGCAAATGCCACCTATCAGTCAAATTAAATCCATGCTCCAAAGTAGTGGCTCTAAACCTTTCCACACTACTGTACCTCTTTCCGGTGTCTCATCGGTCTAGCATACCCCTGAGTTTCACTTCACTTAAAATTACTTGCTTACAAATCAAACATAAAAAATACAGAAGTGTCATTCCACATTATTACTGAAAAGTTGTGTACTTTTTTCATGTTTAACCATACATTTCTAAAATAAATCAATTGGAATAAATATTGTAGCTACATTACAGATTATAGCATCCATCCATACATCCACTGTATGAAATTTTAGTTTTTACTGACTTTTCTAGAGGTTTTTATGTATGTTATTAATTGATACAATTAACTAGAAGAGTTACTGCACCCCCCCCCCCCGAAAGACTTCTGTGTCCTCTCAGGGGTATGCATAACCACAGTTGACTGCCACTGCTCCAAAGCATGGGGGCAGATGAACATCTCAATAAAATGGTTATACACATTTTTTTTTTTTTTTACAGACAAAACAAATATTTTTCTTTAGCATCATTCTTGGAAAGGAGGAAGCAATTTTTTTTTCTGAAGTCCTCCAAAAGAATTCAGCTATAGGCAGAATCCCAGCATGGAAAATTTCAGCCCTCAAATAGTTATGGTTTGGCAAAGTTACACACCACTGTTTTCAGTTGCTTATAATAGGATTCGTCAAGTAATCTCTGCTATAGGCATCACTAGGTGAGCCACCTAAAACATCTTTGATTTCTCTTGTAAATACAGCAGAAAACAAGTAATTTCCACACAGTATATTTCACGCTTCAAAGCTACTGTGCAGATAATCACTACTTAAAGGTCATGGTAACTTGGCCAAGGCAGTGAAAACTACATTAGGTTCTATTGCGCCTTATAACCTGTCATTAATAAAAATCCCCAGTAAGAAAATAAAATTGAAAAGACCCATATATTTAGTTCTCTATCTGCTCAAAAGCAATGAGGTTATTACATATACATTTCTTTTCCAGATATCTCTCATCCTATTTCAATCATCAGAGGAGTACAATGCAGCCAAGACTAGCTCCTTTACTTGGCCCCCACACTCTTGGTATATTTGCGGAGGTGATGAACTGATTGCAAATGCTCCACATCTCCTACTGCTTTCCATTATTGTGTGCCACAAAACCAGTCCTACTTTCACTGACTAGTAAGAACTCAGAAGAGTTCACCCCAATAACATATGGCTGAAGGTATATTGTTCTCACAGTAACTTTAATTGGCATCTTGTGAATTTAATTATGTGACTGCTACTATACATTCTTTGGAATACATACATGCAAGACTCTGGCTATCTTACCCATTACAAAGATAGCCTCCCCAGTTATCATCTCTAATACCATTAGCTCACAGACATTTACCTAGCTCACAGACATTTACCCCCCCCCCCCATCCCTCTTCTGTTCTGAAATTTGATTTGTCCTTTTCATATGTGTTCATTGTTTTTAACTATATCTTTTGGTATATATGGTTGTGACTATTTTCTTCCACTATTTGATCTGAGGAAGTGGGTCTGGCCCACGAAAGCTCATCATCTAATAAACCATCTTGTTAGTCTTTAAAGTGCTACACTGTCCTGTATTTTGTTACATGCAAGAGGGCTGAGTTAAGAGCACTGTATGAACTTATCTCTGAAATGCACAGACTTCATATGACTGTGGTACTGTCCCTTTGCTAAGTAGATTTTAG